ATTTTGAAGTTATATAAAGAAATGCAAACTGTCATTAGGCAATGCAAACACAAAATAAATTCTTGTGTCTATATAAATCTGAAGAACTAAGAAGCTAAAGCCCACTTAGAAAGATCTGAGTAAAGAGATAGCACAGATCTTTAACAGTATTACTATAAAGGCTAGATCTAGAAAATGAATACTGATGTAGAAAATATTAGATAAACAAAAACCTCAGATGAGAGGTATTACCAATCAGGCCTTTAGAAGTCTTGAACCAAAGAAAAAGGATCTTGGAGAAGCAAACACTTGGAGTACCAAGAACATAACATAGTCTTTCTGGACTATCTGAATTGGGAGTCTGAGATTTAAAATAGAATATTGCTAAGTATTAGGAATATGCTGTGAAGTTGATACTAGGTCTAAGTGAATTTTACAAGAATGAGTCCTGTTAGCAAAAATTAAATATTGGTAGTTAGTTAGCAAAAAGGCCTCCTGGAGCTCTACAGTTAGATGACATACTCTGAAATATGTAACAACTTGATAGACATTCAGACAGGAAAGTCAGAATAGATTAGTTAGTATCTAAAATAGATGTACAAAAGCTTGTGTACTATCTGCTAGTGTAGTATAGGGGTAACCTTATACAAGTTATGTAATTATAATTGAATTCAAATAAAGGCAGTAGTCACAGATAACTAATGATCTTAGTAAAAGCAAAAAAAAAGTGATTGATCAATTAATTAAAATAATAATATAATTATACAATAGTTGCAGTTCACAATAGGACTGTAATGCAAGTTGAAATTAAATAAAATAAATAAATATATAAATTGTCTTTAGCTTTGAAATACCTACTAATTTATATGTTTTTATTGTTTTAAAAGAGATTATAAATCTGAAAACTTTATTAAGGTTGAAAAAGAAAGGTTTTTATATCTTTTCAAGATATACAAAAGAATTCCAAGTTGACTAAAGATAATAATAAGTAAACATTTTTTGTTCATCTTATGAAATAATACTTATACAATTAATTATTCCTTTTTTAATCAAAACCTTCTATATTATATTACAAATGCTCTATTTTGTTAAATATTATTTATAACTATACTTTCTTTAATAATATCTTTAACAATCAACTTTGTGATCATTCTTTAAATATGTCTTACAATGAGGTTGTGTAATGATTTTTATTATATCTAATCTAAAAAAAATAATTTTTGTACAACTGTTAATGTGAATATTAATAAATTTAAAAGATAATAAACATGTAAAATAATAATTATATATAGAAATGAAGTATAATTAATTTAAATAATAGGGATAACTAATAGAAATAATAAATATAAAAATCGATAAATAAATATTAGAATAATTAATTTTGGAAATAAAGTATAAATGAATTAGAAAAAAAAAGTAACTAATTAGAATAACAAATATGATTAATTGATACCATAAATATAAAAAAAATTTTTTCTTTTTTTAGTAATAATAAAACTGAACTAGGACTAGTTTACAAACCAGTTTATAAATTTTGATTTAGTCTGTAGTTTGCTACTTGGATCTAGTCTTTGGAACTGAGACCAAACCAGAATGATTTATAATATCTTTAATCATGATGCAAATTACTAAAAGATATAAATTTTTAAGATTATATAATATAGAGATGCAAAAATAATATTCTTGATAGAACATTGATACTGTTCTTAATATAGTAATAAACAAATATTAATTTGAATACTATTCCTGATAGGATTCTAAAAAAAGAAACTTTAAAATGCTATTTGATTATTGTGAAATATATAAAAAAAAGTATAATGAAGGTTTATTTATTAGGAACAGTAATTAATAAAATTTTTTTTATTTCATCAAGATCAGTACTAATAATCTATTATAAACAGTATTCTTGTCATAGAGATACTTTATTTATTATAAAACAATGCACTTCATTGCTCTGTTCTTGGTACAAACAAAAATAAAACATAGCTTGACTTTGTTACATTTTATTAAATCCAATTTAAACAAATTAACTTTTTTTTTTATAGTAATCATGTAATGTATACAAAGTCAAAACCTGTAAGCTCAGAATAAAACAATAAGAAAACAAGATATAACTTTAAACCTGAAATGCATGCATACAACAAATAAGATACTTACATATGTTTGTATAAGATATATTAAACAGTTGCACTCTATTTATCATATATTGATATTAAGTAAATCTTACATTCTTTTTAGCATTGTTCAGAATGCTATATAAAGTCATAATGATTGATCATCTAATCATGTTTAAGATTTTATATATTGATATCTGAATCATATATAAACTACTAGAATAAAGTAAACCATTATAATGGTAAGCACTATTTTGCACAACTTGAAAACAAAATAAGTTAAATCAATAAAACAAAGGCATAAAATAATAAAAAGATTGCATAACAAAATTGATAATACAGATGGGACTTGTATAAAACAGGTAATAACCTAACAATTAAAAAGCCATAATAATAAATAGTAAGGTCATGTTCAAATCAATGCCTAAATAAGAAAGTCTAAATACTTTAAAATACAAGCATGATATCAATGCAAAAAATTTATATTATGTACAAATTTAAAAATTATGAGATAATGTTATAAGGATCATTCATTCATTTAATCAAATCCAAGATTATGTATATTGTTATAGAGAAATGGTGCAAATTCTAAGATGAGTAACTATGACAAATTGTTATTTCAAAATTATCAACATTACATAATGTTGCTTAAAAGCAAAATGAAGCAATATGATTTGGCAATGGTTAAGGTGACTCTCAAGTAAGTTACTGTGTAAGGATGGTGACTTTTTAAAAGAGCATTTATTCGTATTACACTTTTTGTACTTTTTATGATTTATAACTTTTTTATTTATTAATAATTAATTAATAATTTCCTTTAAGTTACAGGAATATGGGAGCTGAGGGGATCATATCCCACTTAACATCAAAACCAGAAAGCTTTTATAATGAATTATCAGGGAAGTATGCTTGAGAATATTCACCCTTTCTTGCATTAATGTTTTCTTTTCTGTTAATTGTACAATTCCACCTTTTGACTCATAATTTCATCTTTTAATTACCTTCTCTATTTTATAGATCCCACTGATAAAGCTACAGCCACATCTTCCAAAAAGTCTTTGCAGGTTGAAGGCTCTGTTGTAAGCCTGTGAAAGTAAGTATCAAACCTTTTCCTTGTTGCGCGTCATGGTGATTCTACTAAGTCTTTCTTCCTTTTTGGGTTAGCGGCCCAGGCTTACAATCGTGGGTGCCTTGTTCCGAATCTTGGGGCTTCTCTTGCATACAATGGGGAGAAATCGGGTTACACGATCGCTGATTTTGGGTCACGATCTAGATTGCGATTCCGGTCACGTTTTCGGTCACATTTCACGATCATTCCGCAACGGCTTTAACCGGATTTCCCTCTAACAACATCCACATCTGAATCGCCTATAAACCATACACTACGGTGTACATTGTACGAACTCCATTCCTGGTGTATATAAAGGAAAGGGGATTTAATAGCGAAGGAGAATTTATTAAGTATAAGGGTTTAGGTGGATAAATTAAAGATCGAATTAAATAAAGAAAATAGAGAAGTGAGATTAATTAAAAATTAATATAAATAAAGGCCGAAATGTTCCTCAGGGACGATATGTCTCGGTTTGCTTTATTAAAAGAACAAGTCCCAATACATTGTATCATCCGCAACAAAACCCTAACGCTATACCCAGTATAAACCCTGTAAACCCCCATAAACATCGTCATTCGTTCAAGTTCTTGTTCACGTGACTTACCCTACTGACCTTCGTTGAATCCAAATAACCGAAAGCCTTAATCACCCACCAGCCAAATCTAACACCCTCTTTCGAAAAGGTTACCTATCGTTGGTTGCAAGAGAATTCGGATTGTGAAGCACCGAGTCACAAGAATTCGCCTACGACACTATCAAAGATCATCAAAGAAATGATTGCTGCCAAAGGAAACCTCTAATCTAGCTTTTAGTTATAATATCAGCTGATTTGCATATTTGATTAGTTCAAACAATGCAAGTTAGTGGAAATTTTTTTTCATGTTCGGATGGTATGGGCATATATAATTGGAAGTTTTCACTTGATGGCACTCAAATTAAATGCCTGCAAATAAACTATGAAACAAACTCTTGGAATTACTTGTCTATAAATTGATTGTCTATAAAATTCACTTTCGAATCAGTTAAATCATAAGGTATTATAAAACTATGTTGAGTTTAAACCTATCAGTAACTTATCAATAAAAGAAAATCCAAAACTTAGGGAGCATTAATGATAAATAGACCTACAAAAAATTTATCAAAAATCAAATGATTTACTATGTCAGAGATTGCAATATGAAACTAAAAAGGACATCCCGAGGTTTACATATTTATTGTAAATCTAATTGTATGTGGAGATAGGTAAATTTCCAATTTTCAATATACTGCACAGCTTGTACAAGTATTGAATCAGTACCCAAGCAATCTATTGATAGATAAGATTTTTTGTTTGCGTGTTTTTGACTTTTTTGTATCATTTCATAGACATTTTATTTCATAGACAATCAAGTTCATTTATAATTTGAATAATTTGATTGCAAATCATTTTGGTAATCTGTTATTAAAAAAATTGGATTATTTCACAAAGTTTGGACATTGTATAATTGTGTAACATTCGTATTTCAGTAAGTGGTAAGATCATTGTTCTTGCAATCTTACTCACGTGATATCGTAAAGTATGCCGTTACTAGTGATGGGCAAATGCAGTTTTTTAAAAAACGCGTGGAATGATAAAGTTTTTAATTTTTATGAATTATAAAAATATAAAAATATATATAAATATAATCACTAGAAATATAATTTCTTGTTTAAAATAATATACGTTTAACATTTCAAAATGATGCCGTATCGGTTCATTAACACCATGTTATAATAATGTTGTTTAAAGAATGACTTAATAATGGTTATATTTAGTGATGGGCAATGCGCATGACATGCACATGGGTTTGGTGCTGCAAAAAGAGGGTAAATTTTGACAAATTTTTAAAAATTAATTTTTTTGTATATATTAAGAAAATCATGCAGTTTAACTCTTTAAAATTTGCAATTTCTTATGATTTATTATAAAATTTATAACATAAAAATTGATTTTCCGAAGATCTATGCTGAAATTTCAATAGATCATGTGCATAAAATTTGAAAAAATTGGAATTTGCAAATCACTAGCTATATTTATTCTAACCAACGTTAAAAAAAATTTTAATCAAGTATACGCATATATATATAGAATGATAAACAAATAAAAAGTTCTATGTAGAAATGCAGACGGGGTAAACAGCCACCCAAAAAGTTGCGGACATCACGTGGCAAATATATCAAGCACTAAAAATTCATGTAAATAAGCTACATGAATTTTTAGTGCTCGATATATTTGTTACGTGCCGTTCGAAACTTTTTTGGTTGGCGATTTTACCTAGGAGACTAGCAATGCCAGTCTAAAAAATTTCGCTATTATGTGATCCCATTAAAAAAAATTTCGCTAAGAAAAAACCAAAATTTGCAAGGAAAACTTTTTATTAGTATACAGAAGGCAGTTGCATAGGCAAAATTTCGAGTTATGGGCGATTTTTGACTTATTTTTGTTGAACTTGTTTCACGTTACACCTGATCTCCTGATCTCGAAATCTGATTGACTAGCGAAATTTATTAGCTGGCGATTTAACCCCTGTTATTTTACCCCAGTATCAGAAATTGGCCCATTAATGTTAATGCAGGCCGGATGATATTTAATGCAGGCCATATAATATGCTAATGCAGGCCAAATAATCTCATATTAAAAATCCCGCGCGGGATTTCGCGCGTGGCCCATCACTAGCCGTTACCCTGTCCGGTTGATTCTCAACATAATGAGGATTGCCGTGGTTGTTTTCCAACTCTCCTAACATACAATGTTTATTGTATTGTATTCTAGTTTGAGGTCCGTTAGGAAGATCCCTGTCGTGGTTTCGTTGAAATTATTGAGGATATAAAGTATAAGCTTTATTGTGTATTATTCGGTTACTATACAAATAAAGAAGTCATACCTACGATCTTAACCCCACTCACCAAATAAAACCGCCTCTTTCAGATTGTGGAGCGACTGACTCGCCGTTTAAAACTGTCACTACATATAATATAGATAGTTTATTTATAGTGTAAGGCCAGTAAATAACGTCAAGTATTTATTACACTATCGATTAAAAATCAAATGTGTACGTAAAAATCATCAATTAATTTTTGGTATGTATCGTATTTATATAGCAATGTATTCTTAAAATGCAGTTCATACTGCTAGTAATTATCTCGCAATAAACACGATCATAAATCATCATTTCAAGCCATATTCATATTCGGTTATTTAAAATCGTAGCAAATATGCAATAAATTAGATCCATGTAATATAGATCCTATTTGTAAATAGAAAAATCAATCTGATTATATTCATGTGAATACCGAAATAACTGATTTACCGAATTAAAAGTTTTGCGGACGAACCTTCCGCATAACAATACATTTCGTGAAATTTTGAATATCACACTGTTCCTGATATAAGAGCTTATGGATAGTATCAATTAGTGCTCCTAATGGGTTTGATACGGGTTTGATCAGAATGATCCGAAGCTGATCTGCTACAGTAAATTCATCATATGGGTCATGACTTATAATATCCATCCTGTGTTAGATTGAAAGCGAGAAATCTGTGCCAGGTTTTGTCTTAGAAATAAAAATTTTCCTATCTTAAAATGCCGATTATGAAATTGCTTTTTGTGCTCTAACAAACATTCCTCTCATAATTTTGTATACCCTTTTAATTCTAACTTCTTTTTAGCTTAATCTAACCCTAATTTAATAATAACTTTAAAATTAGCTTAATGCGGCCGACGTCGATCAATCTAGTAGAGGATCGACAAAACTTGGCACAGATTTCTTGATTTTTCAGATGTTATATTTAGTATGAAAGTGTATTCATTCAATATCTGTTGATACGAATATAAAATGCACAAATATTCATCCAGAATAATGTATATAATGAAGAGATATCTTGAAGTCCTTCATTGATACCAATGCACCTAACGGGTTTGATCTAACGACCCGCTTTTTAATAACATCTCGATCATTAATTTATAGTAATCAAATAATGTAAAAGTTTTTTTTCTTTAAGTTCCACTATAATCAATATTTACGTCTTGTAATCTTAATTACCCGTGAGGTGCTTAAATACGAAACTTCATTAAAATTTTTATGTGGAAGTTTTTTGCTATAAATATTTGTGAACAAAATAAATTATTTATAAAACAGATTCCTAATCAAAAATTAGTACTCCAAAAAGTTGGTTTGGACTCTGTCGCTTAATAGATAAGTGCACAAAACTCAAAATGGCTATTCTAGAAATTATTGAAGCCTTTAGTATTACAGATTATCTCCTCATTTTTGCTTTAATTTTTGCTACCTACGTTTTTAACTTTTATTATAAATACTTAACTCGTCCCAATCCACTCCATGGTCCATTGCCTTTACCATTCATCGGAAACCTTCACAACATGATTTTCGATTTAAGATCGTTCTATTGTAAATGCCAACCAAATTATGGAGATATCTGCGAAATAATGTTTGATGGATCTAGATGTATAATTCTCTCACGACCAGAATATATTGAAAAACTTATGTCTACATGTGCAAGAAGGTTGCCATATTATCAGGGTCTGGATGAATTAGGATTTAGTAGACATGGAATCGCCGGCAATGATGTGTATGAAATTTGGAAGTATAACAGACAGTTCTTTGATCATGTTTTAGTGTCACCTAGATTTAGAGATTACACTGTAAAATCTATAATTAAATTGTTTGAAGAATTGAGGTGGTATTGGCAGTCTCTTGGAATGCAAAGCGTTCCAAATAATAAAAACAAAAATAACTGGACTTTAGAAACAGATATTTCTGAATGGTTTCATGCATTTGCAAATGAAACTATTTCAGTAATAGTCACCAGTGAACGCACATATTCTATTGCCTCCTACTATAACATGCAAAGTACTGTCAAGCATGAATATTCTGATGCACTGGTCGAAGATGGGAATAAATTTGTCAAAGCATTAGTAGACCACATTCAAGCTCTCACGTTCTTCATGTTGGTTGGCAAATTCTTAAGGCATTACGTTCCAATAATTAAAGATATGGCAAATTTTTACTTAAAAAACCGTGATTATATATATGAAAAATTGGATCGCATAATTAAAACAAGAAGAGAAAAGATTGAAGCAATGCCAGTGGGTACAGAAATGGGATCCGATATGCTGACTTCCTTAATCACTTTAAACACCGAAAAGGATACTGATACTGCTAAAATAAAAACAATGGACGGTATGACGTATGAACCTATGCCTGACGAAGAGATCCGAAGTAATTTGTTAGAGGCAATCGGGGGTGGATCAGATAGTGTAAGTAATATTTTCTTTATTTATTTACTTATAATTTACTTATGCTAATTTTATTACCTTTTAGACTGGCAATACATTTTGCTATATAACCTACTATGTTTGTAAACATCCAAATGTAAAACAAAAAATGATTTCAGAAATTGACTCTGTTTTCTCTAAAAATTCTAATATATCTTATCTGACAAGAGATGATCTCTTAAAGTTGAAATATTGTGAGGCCATAATTAATGAAGCTCTTCGTATGATTCCCGTAACAAATATTGTAACTCGTCACATGACTGAAGAGTGTGAAATTGCAGGATATAAATGGGCTCCTGGTACAGTTTTTCACATAAATCTTGCAGGGGTACATAGCCACCCTGAAGTTTGGCCTAATCCTGAAGTTTTCGATCCAGATAGATTTTATAATGTTGACCAAGATGATAAAAGATTAAAAAACAAATATTCCTTGGTAACTTTTGGTGGTGGTTTACGAATCTGCCCTGGAAGGAAACTGGCGATGACTCAGCTACTTTTATGGATGTCATCAGTTTACAGATATTATAATGTTGAGTTAGTGAACATGCATGAGCCATTAAAAATTCATTCTTTATCGGCTAACAATGTTCCAGAGTTGAAAGTTAGAATTAGTCCTCGGATTAATTAAGCTTAATTTTACTGAGTTTATTAAATCGAATCTTTATTCTATCATTTTCATTTATTTTCGTTGTACTTAAAATTCAAATAAACTTAATTTGATAATTAATGATTTCAAAAACTTTAATGTTATTATAGAGAGAATTGGTTTTTTCTTTAATAATATTCATATTTTTTAAATATCCTCAAATTAACATTAAAATATTACCGTAAATTCTCAAAATAACAGGCATATGCGTTATTTTGAAAATAATAATACAGCTGCATTTTTAAATTTTATAATAAAATATTGTATTTTCGCGAAATAACGCCCACCTGCACGTTATTTTGAGTATATTTTGAAACAATATAAAATTTTTAAGTATCTTCTTATATAAAACAAAACTGCTTCGAAACCAAGTTTACTTAGTATCAAACTTCGTTTCGAATATTACTATAAATAATTACTTCTTACTATGGGGTGTGCGTTATTTCGGGACGCGCATGGGCGTTATTTCGAAGCCATATATGTTATTTTTAAGTGTTACAATTTTCGAAATAACGCCCATGCCCGTTATTTAGCGAAAATACGGTATGATAACCGCGAAGAATCTTCGGCCATCACATGCATATAAATTTTATTGTTAGTCAATTACGAAGATTGACTAATACAATAAAAAATTTTACTTATTGTTAATGTAGAACTTTTGCTTATTATGTTAATTAAAAAAATTGAATAATTATCTCAAATAATGCTTATGGGTGTGCTTAAGATGTTCATTATTTCAAATTAATGCTTATGGGAGTGCTTAAGATGCTCATTATTTCAAGAATTTATAATTATTATGGAGAAGAAATAATCTTTATTTTAGAATGAAATTTGAAAGCTTACACTCTTCTTTAACTAAAAGTAAGAATATATCTTTATATATTCTAATTTCTTATACAACATTGATACTGAAATTATAATATTCATCTGATGTTGAAGTTTTGGTATAGTTGTAATTTTATGAAGAATTTAGCACATACTTAATTATATGTACTGAGTCATCAATAATATATAATAATGCCTAGTATTATTAAAATCAAAGGTAATAAAATTATATAATAAGATAGCTGCACAATGCAATTGCATGAAATCATGAATGAGTATTATATTGTAAGATTTTAAAAAGAAAGCTTTAAAATTGTGTCAAACATAGAAATACAGACATAATGCCACAAGATTCCTACAATTGTAATGGGTTATACCATTTTTTACCGTTACTTATAATAATTTACAACATTATGATTAAGTACAATTTTTAGCTTAGATCGTAAGCTTTCACTTGAGTATTTAATTATAAGCATAGCTTCGAAATTCATCGAGATATGAGCTGTGAAAAGTAAGGAATGAATTTTTTTAAAATGTTAATATTTGCAGCATGAGATGTGTGCCAGATTTGTGACATAACCAAAATTCTTGCACGTCTTGAATGTGTGTCAGGCCTATAGCACAGATTTTCTGAACTACAAATCAGATTCCAAGACTAGGTGAAATTAATACGATCAAAAAATTCAAACCATTTTGTCAAAATTTACTTATTCCTCAAAAATCAGTATAAGAAATCACCTTTAGTGCTCTAAAAAAAGGGGTCATTGGACAATTTTACTGTACAAACTACTCCTTTCTACTTCATAAACCTGATCCTAACCTTAAGGCCGCTTGCAATTAAATTTTCGGTTAACATTACTTTAGAACTCTTGGAAGGGAGGGGGGATAAATTAAACGAACATATAGAATGAACAAATATGGGGCAATTTGATTGGTCGATGTAAACAAAGATATTGGTGAGAGTTATCCAGCGTTTTGATTGGTTGATCATTTTTCGAGGGGAGCCTTCAGCTGGGGAGGTGATGTTAACCGAAGAATTAACTTCGAACGGCCTAATATAAACAAGCTTTAAAGAATTTTTACTGCATCAAGAACCTAGCATACATTCAGGTAATGTAAAATTCTCTAACATTCATATTTAAGTTAGAATTAATGAGATGGTGAATCGGTTTGGTTGGGAAAATTTTTTTGTTGGGTAAATATTTAACAAAATAACCAACTTTGACAAAACGAATGCTTTACTAAATGCAATACCAATACTCCTCATGTCTCCTGTTCCTGGTTTTGCATAACAACGTCACGCAGCTATATTATTAATAAAAGAGTATAGGTGGATTTTGGTAGGCCTTATCAACAACAACGTTGTTGTTGAAAAAGGTATATTACGCTAATTCCGTGACGCTATGCAAGAATTAATAATCCGATTACATCCCGCGTAAGCGGGATGTAAACGGTAAATTAATTTTTTTTTATCCACCTAACTGACTTTTAATTCTTGCATAAGCGTCACTAACGAAGCGTATTATATATATGTGGCAGCTTATAAAAATATACTTATATTTAAAATGTGTTACGATGCAAAATCGGAATCCAGTGATTCGTGTAACGTTTCCGAAGCGAATTATAACTAAATAACAAAATAATAAATAAATAAATAAA